ACTGTCGTTGAATTATCGCTGTACAGGTTTTGTAGGTTAGTAGATACGTAATGCATTTTTAGATAATAACAGCTCATTTAAAACTCTATCGGTTTTATCATTTTTAAATGTAATTGTTTGTTTCGTCGTCTTTCCATTGATTGTAATAAAGAGAGATACAGCGTACACGTAGTTGTTTGTTTTGAACTATTCGTGAATTCTGACTAAGATTCTTACGGGTTGTCTGACGTTTGCGTAGAAACTTAAGAGGGGGCTATCTAATATGAGCTACCGGTCACCGTCCTCGTCGAACCCGAATTAACCCACATTAGACACAGCCCACTGAGTTTCTCGCCGGATCTTCTCAGTGGGTCGCGTTTCCGATCCGGTGGTAGATTCTGCGAAGCACTGCTCTTGCTAGGGCTAGTGCTAGCAACACTTCTGGTTTAAGCCCCGTGAGCTCACCTACATGTTAGGGTGAAGCTGAAATAGCCTCTGAAGGTTATCAGCATAGGTAGGAAAAATAAAAATATGCAAGTTTTTTTTTTATGTTTGAGAGATTACTGGTGTCCCGGAGGCCTTTCTAGTTTTACCAGGGCAGGTGGGCGAGCAAGGGCTCGGCCAGGAAATGAGTAAGTGAGAATAGCAATTAATGATGAAATATGAGAGAATAGCAATGAACATTTTCTTTTCTAGCCCAGTGTAAACATTACTATCACAGCGAGATTTTCCTGTTATCTGATTTGTTGCCTGCCGCGGGCAAACGTGCTCACGCGTCACCAAATTAAATTCGGCCGCCTACGACAAATAACTAGGATCATGTACCTCGTAGCTGTTAGGTCTGGCTACTATATACGCATTTAAGGGGGCGAATGGAATTCGTACTGGTACTGGTAAAGGTACTGTTTTAGCGGGACAATAGTAGTAGCTAGAAACACCCGGAGTCGTATACCCTGATGAATAGGTGGACGAGCAGTACCATTTTTTGACCTAGCAATCGTGAAATTGAAGTGTTCGAGATTCATATTCGTAACGTAAACATTACGAGGTCAACGTAATCATGAAATCGAGATAAAACGGTGGAAACGTTTAGGTAAAAGTATACATAAGTTTATTTGATTCTAGAAAACTTTAATTTTGATTTACATCACTACAAACAAAACATAGTATAAAACAAAGTAGCTTTCTCTGTATATAGGGACATGTGTGCTTAAATCTTTAAAACTACGCAACAGATTTTGATGCGGTTTTTTTAATAACTGGAGTGATTGAAGAGGAAGTTTTATATGTATAATAACATCCATTAAATAGTGGAGAAATCAATTATAAATTACGGTTTCCGAAGCTAAGCGAGGGCGGGTCGCTAGTGTTAAAAAAATCAATTTAAAAAAACATGCATTTGCTCTTCATATTCATAATGAGTGAATAATGGAATCAAATAGCATTTGACGGTGACATCATTGAATTTAATATCATCGAGGCATAAACTGTTTGACGCTGTCCGATTGCTGTTGACTTGGTCAAATGCGGTAATTAGTGTAAATGAGAGCTCGTTGTGTGTTGCCTCAATTCTACGAGGAATCAGGCTGAGAAGCATCGCTCCCATTTCACAATACGTAGTGATTCATTGAATCCATTCGTATAATGAAAAAAAAAAGAAGACATTCGTGACTTCGTGCTCCAATACTTTGTGGCTGAAAGAAAGCGTCAAAATTTCAAACGAAATATTTGCACTGCTGATAAACAGTCACGTTTTAAAGTAGGTTCAATAACAGAGCAGTTGTTTAAAGAAAGAATAGAGTTGTTTTTTTTAAAATAAGACGTGAGTGAACCGTGGTTTGCGAGTTTTAATAAATAAAACTGTTCGCAGTATGTGGGTATATAAGATCTATAAACTTATAATTGTACTTTTTGTTATTATTTCAAATAATATTCCTATATATTGTTCTGTAAAAACAAAGTATTTTATTTTATTTGTTTCATTTATATACCAAACTAATACTAATAGACTAACCTGTAAAAACAAAGAAACGACATTTAAGTCTTTTTCCCTCCTACATTTTAAATGTCTATGTCTATTCTTTAGTCATTTAGTTCACAATTCTAAATAGATTACTTTATTTTATTGCTTAGGTGTGTGGACGAGCTCACGGCCTACCTGGTGTCAAGTGTTTACATCTACCACATAAATGTCGCCACCCACCTTGATATATAAGTTGTAAGGTCTCAGTATGGTTATAACGGCTGCCCCACCCTTTAAACCGAAACGCATTACTGTTTCACAGCAGAAATAGGCAGGCATACCGGTGCGGAATCACAAGAGGTCCTACCTCCAGTAATTAAACAAATTATAATTTTGAGGGTTTGATTTTTACTACACAATGTTATTCCTTCACCGTGGAAGTAAATCGTGAACATTTGTTAAGTACGTATTTCATAGAAAAATTGGTACTAGCCAGCGGGATTCGAATACCGGCACATCGATAGATACGAATGCACCGGACTTCTTATCCTTTAGGCCACGATGACTACCATAGTTGTAGATAGATGAGTATAGTAGTTTAAGTAGATAGTACAAATGAGTATGGTGAGTGGCTACCGTCGTTCATGGAAGTCAACAATGTCACAGGCTGCCTACCGAGTTCATTTCCTAAGAGTTTTATTCATGAGAGTTCATTTTATAACTTTTATTTATTTTCATCTCGGTCACCGCTGCTTTATTGACGTTACATGTTATTATACATTTATTCAAACTGCTTTTCAAAGACCGCAAGCGCGCCAAAATTCTACTTAAAGGGAGTCAAGTATCTTTACATGGGCTTAACATTTAATATTATTAATTTATACGAAATATTTCAATCCATACTTTAATATATAAATTTATGGCTAGGAACTATTATACTATTATATACATCGGTATTAATGTAATTGTTATCGAACGCCTTCAAACAACGAATGCGAAATAAAACGCATTTGCACACAATGTAAATTGATTTAAATATAATACTTTTAACAAAACTTTCCTTACTTCAGTATTGATTGAGTCGATATTATTTACACTACTTCTGTATCACAACGTGAATGTCGAAATCCACCTTGAGACATGAGGTTTTAGGTCTATATTGTTTTGTATTACGGTTTAGGGCTCACAAGATATCCTTAGATCAAAAATATCGTTAGTATTTGCTAAGTTCATTTTAAGTAATGCTGATGCAAATGCGTATTACCAAAAACATTCTTGAACATTAAAATTGCCTTTAAAACAAACGGATTATGTAAATCAATTGTAAACAATAATATTGCTATTATGTGATCGATTTGACGTGATTAAATTTTTAATGTGACGTATCCATAATGTCTGTATAATATGACATCATGTTACTGACCATGGTACGTATCTACGCTGTTTGCATTATGATCACCATGCGTAACCATGTGTTCTGAACCGTGATGAATAGGTACAGGGAGTTGTGTGTGCACTCGGCGGATAGAATGTTTGAAGGTGTGTTTCGCATAGGTGCACATACATAAAACACATATCCATAAATTAAATTTTCAGGAGCTTATTAATAAGTTAACAAGATTCCCCAGTCATTAATTATTCGATACTATAATACTACTAACAATTAAAAAAGAATCAAATAATAAAAAGAAAAAGTAGCAACCTATCACGGCGGCATAAATAAAAGGTTTTGTTATGGCTATTAAAGACGAATTCATTAATGCCAAAAAATATATAGCTGGTCTTCGGGTGTCTTATGAGCGCGGAGAGATGTCGCCATGCCAGTTTTTGCCACGAAGCAGTAGTACATTTCGATTTGAATGATCAAATAGTCCCTTAACTAAACCATTGAGATACCTCATATTGCATGCTAAATGTTGGAAATCACTTTGTGGTGTTTATTCACTCCGGTAACCGTTTAACAGCAGGTAGGCCGTGAGCTCGGACACGCATCTAAGCAATAAAGACAATTTAAAAAAAAATATTATTTAAGACATAAATGTACAAAATTGTCCGCTGAGTTTCTGATCTTCTCAATGGGTGGCGATTCCGATCTGGTGGTAGATTCTGCGAAATACTGCTCTTGCTAGGGCTAGTATTAGGAAATTCTTTCAGATTGAGCCTATGAGCTCACCTACCCGTACGGGCGTAGCTGGAATAGTCCCTTAGCCTATCAGCGAATAGGTAGGAAAAGTATAAAATGATAATTGTATGATCAACTGCTAGAATCTGTAGGAATATAGTGAAGACATCACAGGAGCTTGCCCGATTCCACAAAACTGATACTACTCACATACACAATCAGGTCGTCCACACACATCAAATATCAGATGAACTTAAATCAATCAATCAATCTATTGATCTAAATAAAATCTAATCTAATCTAAATCTATCAATCAGTATTTACCGGAAACCCGTAATTTAACAGCAACTTTATTACGTATTATGAGAGAACAACTGAGAAAATAGTTATACCACAAGAGATCTGATATTACTTTCACAGACAAAATTACTTAATTTATCACGTTGCACGTTGATACACGAACACGTGAACAAAAAATATTCAGAAAAACTCCTCAACTTGAAGTGAAATAATTCGAATATTATGAAACATGAATACAGTCTAGTATGTGCCTTCGGTGGTTTTCAGTACTAGCGTCATACTAAATTATCTAATTGAATTCTTTAGACTATTAAGTTTTCCTAAAAACATACACTTCAATGAGCAGAAAGCTTGTGATTATAATTTGAAGCGAAGTATTCCGAGAAAAATAATAGTATTTAAAAAGAACATATAAACCACAACAAACAATGAACAAAAAGAACTACATGTGAATAAAGAATGGAAAATTTTAATCATAAAGTGTATGCGCTTAAGATAATGGACCTTAACATTGTGATTATTAATGCTACTTTCACGATTTTCTTAGAGACTATTGAAAAAATAAAAATATCGTGTATACATACATTTTATGTTGATTTATATCAGTGCATAATGATGTTTTGTTTTTAATTCCAGATCCCCATTGATAAAAATGGAAAACTGCGGACCTTAGAGCTTCGGGGCTTTTATCCCGACCGTTCTAAAGTTAAAACAATAGAATCTGTAGAAACGACAAGAGCTACCAACATTGTCGAACGATTACGAACTACCGACTCGAAAACGAAAAACGATGTTAAAGAACAACTCTTTTGTAAGAACTATGCCTCACTGATACCAAAAATGAGCATGAATTTAGAAAAGGTAGTGGAACAGAACCCCAGAATTTTAGACTTGCGAGAAAAATTAAACGAAATCACAAAGAAACAAGATCTTGACGTTGATAAGAAACGGAAAGCAATACTAAATGATCTAACACAGTTCGTTGATAAAAAAGATGATGAAGAATCCGGGCCATACAGCTTGCTCTTTGATCTTCAACCAAACTCATCAACATCGTGTAAAGAAAACTCCGATCTATCGTGGGACGGACCTAAGTTCGAACCTATCGATTTTTCTTCACCAAACAACCAAAAATTCAACAGGTCTGCAAATAAAAGTGCCGATAGACTACCAAGTGTTTTAAATTTTGATGAGAAGCCTATGAGAGAATTTGAATATTCATGTGAAAATGATTTTAATTTTCCAGTTAAAAAAACTTTCAATACCCATTCAAGGTCTGACTTATGTTTACAACTAAAGTCGCATTTACCAATGCGTCATGTTGAGTCAAACTTAAGTCCCAGTGATAATTCACAAAGTAAAGCTAACGAAGAGAATTCACTAGACGATAGTTTGGGTATATTGACTCCTGACCAAATGGACGACATTTGTTATTTGGAAAATTCTTTTTCTCCAACTGTAGAGGGGCTACCAATATTCTGTGACACCAACCAGTTAAAGAGCTCTCCAGATAACGGTGACTCGCCATCGACAGATAAGACTGAAAGTAATTCTGCTGCATCGACAATACAAAATGAAGGATTTGAAGATGAAGTAAATAATAAGATAAACGTATCTCGTGCTCCCATTATTACCTTGGAAACCATATTAAATGAAGGAGATCATAATTCACTTTCGCCATTCGATATTTCTCCAGTTGAATCTGTTTGTGCTCAAGAGTTTTTAAGGCAAGTACCCAGAACTCTAAATTTATCCATCAAAGAAAACTTATTAGAAAACGAAGAAACAAATTTAGCTGAAGAAGAATTTATGCCTTCAATTCACAGCAGCATTTTGGAACCTGTCAGTTCTATTGCTGAAAACATATTAGAAATTCCATTGGACTCTAAACAGACAAATGCTTTAACTTCTAATCGAATAGAACAAACACCCTCTCCTGAAGATTTGCCTCTTGACAGTTCAGAAATAAATGGTGAAATTAGTACTTACTCTCAGTTTTCTGTTTCAACTGTTCACGATTCACAAACCTATTCAGATAGTAAAAACGAATATATGAAGTCAATGGAAACATCAAAAGTTTCCAATAGTTTTATCACAAGTATAACAAGTATCACCAGTTTGGATGGGTATCAAGGTGATGGCGAAATGTCAAGACCAGTGAGTAGAGGTGCTGACAATTCAATGTGCAATAGAGAAGATGCAATAGAAATGGACTGGCAAAATGTACCCGTGGCTCGAAGGGCTGATCCTATGACCGATTCTGACTTTTTCACCGAAAGTGACGCTGATGGTCTCGAAGATCACATGCAGCGAGGAGATCGGAGAGCACAAGTAATCGATGGAGCACTGTATGGGGGGAAGAATGGTAACGGTTCTCATCCTCCATTAATCGTTAACAGAAATGATGACTCCTGTATGGAGTCAAGTGGTGTTTATACTGATTTTGAAAATCATCGTTCATCTCCTGTGTTTTTAAACGTTATAGAAGATATGTCACCAGAGGGGTCGACTTCATCAGCGCGTTCGGAATGCAGCCAGAAAAACTTCAGTAACGGAAAAGTCGATCTTTATTTTTCACCACTTCAAGATACTCTTCTAACGGAACAAGGATTAGATTTATCAAATACCCTTGATGATGAAACACCGAAGAATACAAGCAAAAGAAATTCTATCAACAATGAGAAAGAAATGAAATCTAACGAAAAAGCTAAAGAAGAAAAGCGAAGTTTCACCTTAAAAAAATATAAAATGCCGAAACGTGATGTGCCCAGTAAACTCAAAACTATGCTAACCAGTAGAAAGAACGACGCTGACAGCGTGCAAAGTAGCCCTAAAGCTACTAAAAAAACGGATAGACGGGAGAGTTTTTCAAAGAAAAATTCGTTGGAAATCAAAACCGACTACAAGATCAAATCTTTTAAAGATATTAAATCTAAAGTAGACTGTTCTTTCACTTTGCAACGTTCACAGACTTCTTGTAGTGTATCAAGAATGTTAAGTTCAAAATCAACGAATGCTAACACCAAACCAAAAAGGTAAATATTTTGATTAACTACTATTACTAATCTATTTTGATTTTACGCTAAAAGAACATGGTAGCATTTTAAGCTTACGTTGTGATTACTATTCATGCTCGTAATAAAATCAGTTGCTGATCTCAGTGGTTAAAAATTAAAGACGTATTTTGTGGTAAAAAGCATGATTTTAACTTTAGGGTATATATAGTGGAATATCAGAAAATAAATCAAAGTGTTTTGAACTTACAATCAATTTCAGCTGTTTGCATTCCCTTCCTGTTTACAGAGAGTACAAAAATGCAATACCATAAGGGTTATTACCATAAACTTGGAGGGGGCCTTTACCCAAATTTTATAATTATTTTAATACATGTACTTAAATTAGGTACTATATTAATTTAAGCTAACTTAGTAACAAAAGTCAAATTTGTTGTTTAATGTAATATTATATCCACCTAAGATTGTAAAACCAGAAATAAAAAGGCTTATTACTATAATTATTATTTGTATTAAACACTGCCTTGCCTAAGAAGACGGCAGGACATACTCCGGCGAGGTGGGCAACACTCGGCCGGAGCGTTAGGGACTATTGGGAGAGAAACCGGCGAACTATACGGGCATTGTCGAGCAAGACTGCTTTTTGCATTTGGGCCACCACCGACTTATTGTTGAGACTTATTATTATTATTATCTTAAGCTGGCAATAAGATTCGATTTTGTTTAAGCAGCAGACATATGCGCATGCGGATGGAGTTGGGTTCGTCCAATGGTAGTGGAAAGAGCAGCCTTCACAGTTCTCAAAGCGACATCAGTGCTACGAGCACGCCCACAGGAAAACACACAACTAGCCGCTTTCCTCTGTTAAGTGAGTATTTTTTGCTAAAGATTTTCTTCTCATTTCAAACATTCAAAATGTATTGGAAGAGTACACGAAAGTTAAAAGCGCAATTAATCATTGAGCCCTCGGTTTGCTGAAACATAAATAAACGTAGTCCTCCTCCGTGTGTCGTGATCCTCAGTGCTGAGGACTTTTACGGAATACTTACGTAAAGGTTTTCTTGGGAAAATTGCTAGTGGTGGGTTCCCGCGTCCTTCCACAGCAGAATTTCAGAGGCGATTTAGTTCTTTTGGGCTACTAAAGCCCTAGTTCGGGTTATTTGACCGACGCCCGTTACTCAGCGTTATATTTTTACGGCCGGGTAGGTGGCATACCGACGCCAACCCTCCTCTTTTCTCATCCGGGCTTGGGACCGGCAATGGCAGAGTTATAATTATAATGGCAGAGTAAGCGTAGTAAACTAATCAAAATAAAACCATACTAGTATATTTTACATAACAATATTGCCGATTTTCTAAAACGACTTATTGACGTACGTATGAAGCGGCAATGGAAACAGTTCTACGGAATAGTATTTTGATACACGGTTTCTGCTACTATTCAAGGTTACGTGGTTGGTACTAACGTGGCATATTTTGTTTCACATAGCTAAACTGTGACGTGCTTTACAAAAAACAATTAACAGAAATCGTTTGATTTATAATACACCGGTCTGTTTCTCGAACTGTATTTGTTGCTGTAATGCTTCCTTAATTGCGACAATTGTTTCGGTGGTTACTTAATTATTTTTCATGTGTGTAGTGTATCTGGTTTTTAAAAAAAACGTATATACAATATAAAACGTATATTAAACAATTAGTTTCCATTTTTTAAAACTCTATTCCGGTTCCTGACGTCACAGATAAAATATCAACAAGGTCCAATGTGTTTTCTGTGAATGATTTTGTCTATTGAATTGATGCTATACCCATAGATTATACACTTAATATTTGAGAGCTATACCATTAAAATACTCCTCACGTTTGTCAATGATGAGGCTTTGAAAAAATTTCTAACATTAACAACGTGTTTCTTGGAAGTAGGAATCCGGAAAGAATTTATGATTACATACGTAGTATTCGAAGGTTGTGTACGATTTAAGTGATTGCGATTTTATTAAGAACCGCAAGGCTTTGAGGCTGGCAACGCACACTATATTTTCATATTCAGATAAAGTCGCGTGTACCTACGTAAATGTGTTTACGACTCTTCATTCACTTAACTATATAACATTTGAAGTCGTCGTGGCCTAAAGGATAAGACGTTCGGTGCATTCGTATATAATATAGAGATGCAACGGTGTTCGAATCCAGCAGGCGGGTACCAATTTTTCTAATGAAATACGTACTTAACAATTGTTCACGATTGACTTCTACGGTGAAGGAATAACATCGTGTAATAAAAACCAAACCCGCAAAATTATAATTTGCGTAATTACTGGTGGTAGGACCTCTTGTGAGTCCGCGCGGGTAGGTACCACCACCCCGCCTATTTCTGCCGTGAAGCAGTAATGCGTTTCGGCTTGAAGGGCGGGGCAGCCGTTGTAACTGTACTTGAGAGCTTAGAACTTGTATCTCAAGGTGGGTGGCGCATTTACGTCGCTGATGTCTATGCGTTCCAGTAACCACTTAACATCAGGTGGGCTGTGAGCTCGTCCACCTATCTAAGCAATAAAAAAAAAGCGCTGTCCTTCTTCCAACTTTGCTTGAAAAGAGTTTAGTGGTTGGCAGTAGCTAGACATTACTGATATTTATAAGTGACTACTCGTCACGGAACGTGAAAAACGAAGCGATAAAATGAAAATATTACTTTAATACAGTACAATGCCAGCTCCTTTGAAATTAATTCTGTAGATTACTGCATTGGAAGTATGTACATATTATTATTATTATACCTAAATTTCTTTGCTTCAATCAATTGTCCTTTTGCTAGCTAGGAAATACGTAGCAAATATATTTCTTATAATTTTGCTATATTTTGGTATAAGGCGTTGTGCTCTAAATACTATATGTTTGATACAGATACAGTTGAGCATTATGCCGCATAATGCGCTCTTGTGCTGTAATTGGAAAATGGCCACAGTTTGATCTGTAAATATCTGTAATTGTAAAGAACTTCAGGACATCCGATTAATTGGAAAGTTTTATTACACTAATTTTAATAATTTTATTACTTTAGCCTAACAATCCGACTACGAGCACTAGGTTAATTATTATAAAATAGTAAATCAAAATTAATTTAAAATGTATTTAATTTTTTAGTTCCGCTTGATATTTTATAAAACTTGATTTTCAGTTTTTATTGTTTTTTTATTCCTTTGATGAGTAAACGAGCTGATGGCTCACCTAATGTCATATTGTTAACGGAGGTCATGCACATCGCCTTGTTGATGCAACACCTCCGAGACATAAGATCTAAGTCATAACTACTGCCCCACACTTTCAACCTTTGTTTTGACGGAAATAAGCTAGAAATAGGCGGGATGTCATTGTGATTCATTCGCGAGTAACATTTAACGCCAATAAATTCGATCAACAATAGTAACTATTGTACTATTGTTGATCGAAGAGTAATGTACCAGTAATTCTACCATATTTTTTAAGGAAGTGGTTCCTGAAAGCAATTGTTAAAACAAAAAATGTGTGATGAGCATTACTGGAATCGATCCACTTAATAAATACATAAACAAACAAACTTAACCATATGTATTGGACCCCTTTTGTATCCATATAACTATATTGATTAAAGTAAGAACGCTTCATGTGTAAAAATGTGAAAGTAAAATAAAAGTTGATTCCTTGTGAACATTAATAATTCGTAATCGACGAGCGTAATATGTGCTAATACATTTTTGTCAGGCGCTAAAAATTTACAGCTTAACGTTGCATTGCGTACTTTTGTATTACGGAAGTCGTCCTTATAATTTGCCAATTTGAAAGCATTCCAAAAGTAAAAACAAAATATATTGTATGATTATAAAGCCACACTTTCAGAAAATACAGTCTGCTGAATTCTATCATTGTCTAGTAATATCATGAAAGAGGAGCGGNTAAAGTGTCACCTTGTTCCGAAGGGAAATTTTACTCCGCTTACAAATCATGGGGTAGAGTCTACCGAGAATAAACGCGGCACGGTCACGGACTGATTTTATATGCGGGCGGAATGTCATCGATGCATCCAGGGTAACGCCCAGGTACTTGACCTTCCTGGCCCAGGGTATGGATTGACTAAAGAGAGTAATCGGGGGTGATGCGGCATAATGCTCAGCTAAGCTTCAGCATAATTCGGCATTGTGCGTCACTGTGTCGCATTATGCTCTGTCATATATCTGTAATTGTAAAGAACTTCAGGACATCCGATTAATTGGAAAGTTTTATTACACTAATTTTAATAATTTTATTACTTTAGCCTAACAATCCGACTACGAGCACTAGGTTAATTATTATAAAATAGTAAATCAAAATTAATTTAAAATATATTTAATTTTTTAGTTCCTCTTGATATTTTATAAAACTTGATTTTCAGTTTTCATTGTTTTTTTATTCCTTTGATGAGTAAACGAGCTGATGGCTCACCTAATGTCATATTGTTAACGGAGGTCATGCACATCGCCTTGTTGATGCAACACCTCCGAGACATAAGATCTAAGTCATAACTACTGCCCCACATTTTCAACCTTTGTTTTGACGGAAATAAGCTAGAAATAGGCGGGATGTCATTGTGATTCATTCGCGAGTAACATTTAACGCCAGTAATGTACCAGTAATTCTACCATATTTTTTAAGGAAGTGGTTCCTGAAAGCAATTTTAAAAAAAAAAATGTGTGATGAGCATTACTGGAATCGATCCACTTAATAAGTATTTATTAAGTGGATCGATTCCAGTAATGCAGTGTTTATGTATATAAACAAACAAACTTAACCATATGTATTGGACCCCTTTTGTATCCATATAACTATATTGATTAAAGTAAGAACGCTTCATGTGTAAAAATGTGAAAGTAAAATAAAAGTTGATTCCTTGTGAACATTAATAATTCGTAGCGTTAATAAAGCGTAATACCTATGTGCTAATACATTTTTGTCAGGCGCTAAAAATTTACAGCTTAACGTTGCATTGCGTACTTTCGTAGGACGGAAGTCGTCCTTATAATGTGCCAATTTGAAAGCATTCCAAAAATGTAAAAAAAAACATATTGTATGATTATAAACCCATACTTTGAGAAAATACATTCTGCTGACTTCTATCATTGTCTAGTATAATATCATGAAAGAGGAGCGGACAATAGTTGTAAATTTCGATTGTTTTGAATTTTTTTAATGAAATGAATTTTTTGTTGAAATTACTTGAAACTAAGCGAAGCTTGAAGAGCAAATCGATGTGGAAGGTCAATATTACAGCTGGCAGAAGTAGCAGACAAGTTAAAGACCGCATGGCAACTGCCGTTTCCTCTTGACTGGTTGAGCTCGCCAGTCGCCGGTGAGACGCGGCACGGCGCGCGCCGACATTGTCGCGTCCGTGACGTCAGCTAACTTGCAACGCGAAAAATCAATGTATTCGCCTCACATAATATAGTTTACCGCATACCGCATTTTCTAAGGGAAAATGTGTCATATGTTAGTGAAGTGTTGACTTTTTAAATAATAAAACAAAATCATTGATTAAAATGTAATGATAATAATGACATTAAACGCAGCGCGGCACGTGAACGGTTACTTTCGAGTTTTGTTTTCTATGGTGTCATATTTTAAGTTCTGATAGCGTTTTTAGTAACTATAAATGAATATTTTATTATTATTTAGTTTAAAATACTTGTGTTAATTAAGTGATTTTTTTGTATTGCATATACAAAAGTTCAGATGTCTTTATTAATATTAAAAAAAATCTTTGTAATAATTAATTAAATGAAAGTTCACTTTTCAACTAAAGTTACTGAAATTGCCTGCAATTATGAAAATTTTATTGGGAAATCTTTATACTGTCCTTCA